TGTGATGTAAAAACACTGCTAAACCATAAAATATAAAATAAATTAAAAAAATCTTTTTTCACAGTGGCAGCATTTAAAGAAAATATATGGTTTTCGAAAATCTTACGTGGGTTACAACAAATAGCCTCGCGGGCCGGATGCGGCCCGCGGGCCGCCAGTTGGACAACCCTGGTTTATAAAGTACTATTTATTGTTCACTAGTAGTAGTTTTATTTGTGAAAATTTGCTGTTTATAATTTAATCATAAAATAAAAATTCAGAAAAAATCAGAATCATCAATATGGCCAAACGCAACATGTCATACACATTCTTGTACTGCGTGTGACCTGACTTTAAGTGGTGGCTTAAAAAATGTATTAAATTTTGGCAAAATTTTGGAGTGCGCTTAATTCGTTGATTAATTTTAACATTTGTTTTTAATACAGATTTCAGTCCTCTACAAATAGTTTCTTATGACTTTTGATGTAAAATAATTAGGGAAACAGGAATTCAACCATTTATAATTTCTCATTGAGTTTCCTATGGCCCGTTTGGCGATTCAACACCCGGTATAAATGTCTTGAGGTATTTTGCAAACTTCGAAAATAGTTTCGATCTGGAAAACAGATCGAGCACTCATTGTGTCGTTCTTCACGGTCTTCGTTCAACAACAAATTTACTGACTTTTCTAAATGTGGTCTCTACACTGGATGGTCCCAAAATTATTAAAGACAAAATGAAAAGCTTTTCTATTTTTGAGTAAGCAAACAAAAAATAGACAATTTACACCTGGAAGAATTAGAAATGGAATCATATCGAAGTGGAAAGCCAACTATTAAACAAATAAAAAAGCTTTGCATTAAGAGGAAAAACTTAAGACAATTTGGGATGATTAATAAATATATAATAATTTAAGAAAAATATACCATTACTATCGTCACAAAGAAAGACATCTAGTGTCGGCAAACAAGTATGTTTCTTGAAATTCCATTTAAAATGAAAAGGAAGACATTAAACAAGGAGGAGGATCAAATATAAACTGATCTTTCTGTCCTGCAAAGTTTGTTGTTGAGTTGCACTGCTGCGACAAAACTCCAATTTCGAAAAGTTTCGGGACTATTGATTTCAAAGCTCTTTATTGAAGATCAACGAACGATTCGTGTTGAAATTTCTCAAAAGTCCCCCTGCGCGTTGTGAAGTAGAAGAAGCATTTTTAGAAAGCCTACGATAAAAATTGGACAAAATACTATACACTGGAGAGCAATAATGTCTAAAAAAACTTCGTAATAAACTGCAAAATCTTAACTCGTGTTAAACTAAAATTATACTAACAATATAAGGTAACAGAATACACATTACCGAAACCAAAAAGAAATACTAAAAACATGAAGAGCATGTAAGATCAAACTTATAGGACCCACCTGTAACAGATACTCGCGTATACAATCGAAACACACGCAGAAATATCTACTGAGAGAAATAGCTAATGTGTAGTGCTAAGAACGAATAAAGTTGTGATATGTCAAGATCAAATATGGAAAAAGGAAGGTAAAAAATCAGGACTTTTAACGAGAAGAACATACAGGAGGAAAACTAAAGCCTTTAGAAGAGTGGCAAAGCGAAGAGTTTCTTTATTTGGAATATATTTGAATTTAAACTATGACGTAGAATCGTAGATAAACCGCTACAAATTTTTGCTTAATCTCCTCCCATGATTGATCCATCAACAGCATCAAATAAAATAAGCATATGTACAGCGTCAATATTTCGTTTCTATCACTTTCTTTTAATTTCTCTTTCTTAATAATTTCAATATCCATCATTTATGTAGCCCATTAACAAATATTTCCTATATCTCTAATGAGTAATAAAAAGGTACTATATATATCACATCTTCTAGCATACAAGGTTCCAGAAAATTAACAATTTCCTGGTTTAGTGTGATGTCAGAATGACAAAAGGTTTTAAATGGTTTTAGTGTCTGTCAGTTAAATATTTCGATATAAATAATCTATATGTTCTGCTTGTAGTAGATTGTAGATCTGCTGGACCAAGACCAACTTGACCTCAATGCTACTGTGCGCCAAACACGGTTCGAGTAAGTTCGGAACGAGAGTCTCTAAGTAGGTCATGTTTATGCTGGCAAAAGGAAGCTTTGGCGTACGTTAATATTGGGACTGGCAGTGAACTATTGTTTAGGGTTGATAATAAAATGCTTACTGTAGTAGGGGCTTATCTTAAGTAGCCTTTCCAGAGTATGGGAACTATACAATTATGCAATTATGTCAATAACTGTATATTTTGATTGAACATGTCAGAAACTCACAAACACCCATACACAAACGCAGAATACGTATATATACATGCAGACCTATTATAGTCAATCGAAAAATCACCAGACAACTGCACCACAATTGGCTAATTATATGGTACCATTTGTGCTATGAGTACTGCGCCCCCAATACTCATCGTGCCCATGAGTTGACGGTACAGGGAAAAAAGTGTTACCTAAGCAATGCCTCAGAGAGCTGGCGAACTTTTTGCTGGCGAACTAACATTGGCCTAGCGTACACACATTGTCATGTCTGACTGCATTTTGCCCCAACCCGTGAAAATATAATGGATACAACGACAAAAAGAAATAACCCAAAGAAGGACTCAGATATCAGTGACACTCCTGAGTCTCTGATAAAAATATAAAGGGGAACAAGTAAAGGAGATTCGGTAGTCGACTTTGGTCTCTGCTCTAAATGGATCTTAATAACAACAATCAAGTTCCTAAAGACGCATCTTGAACACAGTAAGGCCGGTTCCACACATGGGATCAAACGTTGGCGCCAACGTTGGGTCAACTGTGTTCTCACGTTCGGTGAGGCATCCACACATTGGGTTGAGGCATCAACGGCAACATCAATATTAGCGCGAATCCCTTTGATGTGTACGCAAAAACCGACACTCCACGGAAAACTCCCAACGTGGGAGCAAGTCATAAAAACGTTGGCTCCAACACAGTTTTGTCGGTACACATTGGACGACGCTGTTGGGGTCAACGTTGGCCCGTATGTCTGGAGGCGGCGTAAGGCCGATTCAGCATAACTTACTGTTGCTATTAGAAGTTTTCGCTTTCGCCTGGATACAAGAGAAAACCCGTTATGAAGCTCAGTGAAATAGGTCCAGCGAGCGAGAGAGACGAAAAAGGTTAAGTACCTGTTGAAGCCAGACTTCAATCTAAAAGGGGCTCCACAGTAGGCATTAAAACTTATGGCAGTATGATAAGTCTACGAAGTTAAGTGGCCCTTTGAAATCAACAAGCATTTAACTGAACTAGTAGCCTACTGGTTTTCTTATGTAGCTCATATATCTTACGAAAAACAACAAAGACGGACAAAACCTTTAAAAAGACAATATAGGCGTATAGTTAGAGCAAGAAAGCATACAATGCTTATGGCAACCATTTTATCAACCATTTGGTCTATAAAGACAATATACAGTAGACACTCTCTATAACGAGATCTGAAATGGCAGACTAATTACTTCGTTATAAGCCGTTCTCGTTATATCAAAGAACAATAATACTGTGCATACATATGAATATATGTAGTTTTCTAAAACATTAACTTCCTACAGTGAAGCCATTCGGAGCAATATAAGGTGCTAAATATTGTTTGAATTGCATTTTTGAAAAAAGTTGTTTACTTTTATTGTCGATGATATAAGTTAAAATAAAAATCTGTATTCTGTAAATCTGTATAAAGCGTATTTTTAAGGATAACATAAACTATTTCTTCTGAAATTGGAAGAAGTCTGTCATTTTGACTGCTAAATTGTCCAGTATTCTATCTATCATATTTTCTAAAGATGTGAAACAGTTGTATGCTGCTTTATTTGCGTTTTGTGTTTGGATATACAACAAGCTTCCACATCTTGTCTATCAGCACCTTCTTATTATTAGGTGCGGATGGCCAATCCCCTACGCTGACACTTGTTAGTCATAAATTGTAAATTTCCGAGTAAGTTTATTGCGGGCGGCAGTTAAAAAGGGTGTTTATTTATAGCCACGACCGGACCAAAAACGTAAAAAACATTTTTCGATCTTATTTTCTCTCGTTAAAACCAAATTTGTCTCGCTATAGAGGGTTATAGTTCAATAGAAATTTCACGGGACATCTAATGTACCTCGTTATAAGCGAAACCTCGTAATAACCGTGTTCTGTATAGGGGGAGTATACTGTATTTAAAAAAGACTAAAAGATATCCCATCTATGATAAGAAGTTTTTCAGCAACTAGCATCAAAATGCAATGCTGAAAAAAAATGCCTTTGCAAATTTAGAAAGAAAATATGTATACAGTTTAAATATGTATACAATATAAGTAAAACTAACAAATAAGACCGGTTTCAATCAGTTTTTTAATTGTACAAGGTCTATAGAGTCTACAAAGATAGTGCAACCTATAAGATGCTGCATAATGACCTACTAGCTACCTGACAAGTAACTGTTGTAGAGGAAGTCTATTAGTACCGTTTTAAAAGTAGAGAATTAAAAGTATTTTGAAGATCTCCAAAGAATGAAGCAAAAAAAGACACCAATTGTCAAACTATCATTCCCTAAATAACTCCTGCACACACTTCAAGGCACATAGAATAGAACAAAATAATTTGACACCGACAAAACATCGCAAATTTCCAATGAACACTGTAAACCACTTGTAGGAATATATAATAAGAAGAATATGCATATTGTTGTCGATAATGATTGATAGGAACAAGTCACGGTACTACCAAAAAAACTTATAAACCAACATAAATGGTTCTAAATAAATATATCTCAATCTACAGTTTAAAAAAATTAACATCTAATTTTAACCACGTATATCGAAATATTTAACTTATATACTACTTATTCAAACGCTATTTTTGACATAATTACTTAAAAAGCATAAAGATTTGTAGTACGAATAGTTGTAATGACAATTAGAGAGACAAGAAGTTACACATTGAGAAAGCATTAAGACAAGTTACCTGAGGAATGTGGTCCTTTATTTGTTCTATCTCGACTGCGAAGCGGAAGACTGAAAGGGGCGCTGCTGAAGGGATCTTCGGAGACGGACATCGTCGAACCTTCCTTCGATTTCATCCCTTGCAAACCTAAAAATATTTATTATGTTTAGTATATGTTGCATTAAAATTTTATTGAGCAATTACTAGTTTTACCATACACTGTTACTAATGTTTTAAAATTGCATGAATTTTGAAAATATGCATGCCCAGAAAACAATTAATCCTAAAAACATTAACTATTTTAATTTCATACAGTATTCAATAAAAATTATTAAAAACAACTGATATAAGAAAAACAAAATTAATTTACTAATGCAAAAACTAGTTTCACTCTGTGAGAACAAGTTTTACTCTTGCTATGAGAATGAACTGCAGACAAATAAATGTTTTGGTGATGTTATATTTAATAGTTTCGTTCGTAGATTGACCAAATGGGCGACACAGGATCATGAAAGTGCATTTCATTAATTAATTTTTGTGATTACGATTATATCACTCAAAATATCAAACAATTTACCATAGAGATTACAATAAAAAAACAATAAAAAATACAGAATATACTTCAAAATATTCATTCATTCTATCTCGTCATCATATCAACAACTTGAGTTTCTGTAACTGTCTTCATTTTACTGTACCAATTACCATAGTGAAAACAGTTACGACACGTTTAACATGTATAAAAAAGTGAAAGAAGCGGCTGGCATCTGGCATGGTAAAGTAATATTTGAAGTAGAGGACAAACTTAAAGAATGAGAAAATTACGCCACGAACCTATTCGAAGACGATAGGAGTGGTTCACCTTCCGATATTACTAACTGCGACGGACCCCTAATAACACGTTCTGAGGTTATAAAAGCCATACAATCATAAAAAGATGGCAGAGCGACTTGCTTTGATGAAATTCCAACTGAAATATACAAGCTTATAAATGATAGCAATATTCTAGCGGCCATAACTTCGTTTTTCAATACCACTTATACCAGCGGACAACTAGCTAATGGTTGGTCTAATTCACTGTTTATAGCTCTACCTAAGAAGACAACAGAAAAAACCTGTGCTGATTATAGATCAGTTTGTTGATCCACTTATTGAAATTTTTTTTAAAGGTAATACATGGTCGTATCTACAATAAATGCGAGGGATACCCGGATGACACTCAGTTTGGTTTCCGTAACGGGTTTGGAACGAGAGAGGCACCGTTTGGAATGGACGTACTTGCTCAAAGATGCCGAGATATATATGTAGACATATACTGTTGCTTTATTGACTTCCAAAAGGCATTTGATCGTGTAAGCACTCTATATTGATCGAAGCTCTAAAAGACATTGGCTTGGACAGCAGGGATGTTCGAATAATTGCAAATTTATATTGGAATCAAACAATATCAGTTTTAGTAGATGGTGTGGAATCACAGGCTCTCAATATTAAAAGAGGAGTACGGCAGGGATGCCCCTTGTCACCCCTGTACTCCTAGCTTCTAGTTAACAAGATCTGCAAACACTACTTGATAGTGTCAATGAGAGTTGTCAGGTCTGGATCTGAACATACGGAAAACCAAAATACTCGTAATAAGTAAACAACAGCATATAAAACCGTCTATATATGTAAATAATACCAAACTTAAGCAAGTTGATAAAATCGTTTACCTTGGACAACAATTAAATTGTAACGCAGAAAGTCACGGCGAAATTAGACCTAGGATAGAGCAGGCTGGAGCTGCTTTTAGAAGGATGTCCAAGGTGTTATGTAACAGACACCTAAAATTGGCATTGAGGATCCGCCTACTTCGCTGCTACGTGTTCTCGGTCTTACTCTATGGTGTCGAGTCCTGGCCTGTGAATAAAATCGATCTAAATCGCCTTGAGGCTATCCAATTGTGCTGCTAGAGAAGAATTTTAAAAGTTTTCTGGGTGGAGAAAATTCGAAACTACACAATACTAGAACGTCTCAGCAAGACTACTGGAGTATTTCGGGCATATAATGAGATGGTCTCAAATACAGGTTGCTACAAAATATCATGCAAGGAAAAATAGTAGGCAAACGCAGTCCATGACGAAGAAGAACCTCATGGTTGAAGAATTTGGGAGATTGGTATGGTGTTGATACAAGCATGCTATTTAGGGTGGCAGAGAATAAAATTAAGATAGCTATGATGGTAACCAACGTTCTGAAAGGGCATGGTACATAAAGAAGAAGAAATTACCATAGTTGAGGAGGAGGCTATCAATCGCACGTTGTCCATATTTTCACATTCTGACTTCGAGGTGGCGTTGGATTCGTCAAAACAACATTTATTAATTTACATACTCCTAGATATTCTAAACGTAATATTTCACGTATATTTTTGGCTTCAAAAATCACCTAAACGAACAAAACGCATTTTGTCCAGTAGAGAGAGACAAACAAATAGCGCTATTTTGCTTGCAATGCTTTTTTACCAGGTAACGATTTTATTAGTGTTAATAAGTTGTTTTTGATTACAATAATAATATTAAAATGAGTGGAGATAAGCATATTGTAGGTGATAGAAATAGAGGAACGGGAAAAAGAAAAATAAATACTACGGCAAAAGAACGTAAGTGAGAAATAAGGTAAATTGCAGGTTATGTTGTATTTTTGTGATTTAATTTGTTACATCTGTTTTAGATATTCAAATTTAGATCCAGAGTTACTGAATTTTGAAAATAGTTGTGTTCATAAAGCAAAAAAATTGAATGTACCGAACTTTTGTTGAACGACATAAAAATCATTAGACGTAATTTCTACGATAATGAAGAAAATAATAAAAACGCTCAGGACAACAAATTGGCACATATGATGAATTTAAAGGAAATAAAAAGGCAAAGGAAGAGGAAAGGTGGTAAATCACATGATTTTCACACAGAATTTTATGTGAGTTTTTATTTAAATAAACCAAGTTTCAGTATCGGTAAATATTGATCACCTGATTACAGAATACTTTGTAATATCTCTGATTAAGTATTTTGTAGGTTTGGCATAATAGCAAGAAAGTTTATGTTTGCCAAAAATTATTTTCCTCTATTTTTAATTGCGGTCCAAGAAGAATTCATACGATAGTGAGAAAAAATATGTTTGGCACTGGTATAAAAGAGAATCGAGGTGGAGACAGAAAGTCCAGGAAAAATGCGCTTAAATTAGAAAGTGTCAAGAAATTTATTTCGACTTTGAAGGGCCATGAAAGCCACTGTGGTAGAGGTAAGACAAAAAGAATCTATTTGTCATCTGAGTTAAACATAAAAAAGCTCTAGAAGATGTATACTGATCAGATTCAGGATGATTCACTTCAAACAAACTACAAGTACTAGTCGAATTTTCAGCAATAAGTTTAATATAAGTAGACAGTACTCAAAAAAATTTGACATTTTTTTACTAACTGGCTAGTTTGTTTTAGCATTTGGAAGTCCAGCTACTGATATTTGTGGCTTTTGCATAAGAACAAACACAAAGATAAAAACCATCAAGCATGAACAGCAAAGATTAAAATTAAAAATGGATGTAACTATTCACAAGACGCGAGCAAAGCAGTTTTTTAAATCAACGAAGGGAGTAATTCGTCAACAGGTCCAAAATCTCCCAAAAGCGCCTATTACGGAAGCATTCTATGCTCAGAAACTGTCTTTTTATGCATTTTGTGTGACAGATATTTTAACAAAAACGCCTGTTTTTTATACACGGCTTGAGCATGAAGCAGGAAGAGGTGTGGTAGAAATAAGTTCCGCGTTGACTGACTTTCTAAAAAAAGACTGATTTTGACCCAGATATTAAACGTTTAAGACCGCCAGACAAATATTATGAAATCTATTCTAAGAAAGGAGAAGTACGCAAGCTGGGCTCAGATTGGACTTTGTATGACATAAAACATGCAGCACCTTCACTCAAAAAAGTTATAGGCATAAGTGGAGAAAAAAAAAAGAATAATCATAACTCGAGGCAAGCGAAACGAAAAAAATAAATAGACGTCACCTTGAAGTTTGTTAAACGTCACTTTATGTTCAAATGAACTACTGTAGAGGTACATCGTATTATACATTTTGTATAAGAGTATAATGTAACTGTTTGTATGGGAAAATAAAACCGTTGCTTCTACTATTTTCCTTATAATTTTATCATATTATTTTCTCACGTATTAGACATTCTTAGGATTTTAAATATTTCGAAACCAAAATTTGTCTAATCAATTTAGTCATTCTCGATTTATTATAAAAAAATGTTATAAAAACATAAAATATTGTTTGTTAAACGTCTTTGTATGATATTTTATAACTACATGAATCAAATAAACTAAAACCGTAAAGGTGAATGAATTCTTAGGGATAGCAAGGAACAACTTTTGATAGGTAATACATGCAAGACGTATTTGTCTACGTATGAAATTTGATAAAAAAAATGTTTAATCCGGTAAACAGATGGGTGAAGGTCGATATAGATTTGGATCTTAGACTATCTCTAGTACATCTTTGGATCCTTTAATTTTGTATTTTTTGTTTGTTATGTGTGTTTCTATCGGGGTAGGGGAGTTTCTTTATATTCAACTTCCTGTAGAATTCTCCCTTAATAGGGAATAGTATATAATTGCTATATTTTTAATACTATCATGCTTTTATTTTGTGCTATTATTCTTATTAACTTCTCAGATTTGTGATTCGTTTCATACTTTTTTATTGTTTTATAAAATTTCATGTTTAATTATTTGTTATTGTATGTTTCAGTTCGATTTTGTGTATTTTACTAAAAAGAGAAATAATACCCCTACCTCGTATTATCAAACATTATCCTCAGTCGTATAGCGTTGCAAAAATAAATATAATACTACTTTTTATATTGCGTCATAAATTCCTATTTACTTTTTTATGGGTATTTCCACAAAAATATATTATTTTTCTTGAATGGCTGTATTATTTATCCAAAACCCACAGCGTAACTTTTTATATGGAAACTATAAATCTTATCTTTATAGAACCAACAAAACGGATTGCACTTTCGCAACAGCTGAAATAAAACATTCAACGTTCTTTTCTCACATTTTCATATTTAACATTTGATAGATTTGGACAATAAAAACC